TCTCCCCTTAGGAGAGGCATCCCTGGGCCAAATTTCTGGCTGATTAGTGGTTATAATGAATCCTTTGGAAACCTCTGGAGCGCCCAGGCAGGGTGAAGCTGCTGACGACAGGAAGGTGGAGGATGCCTGAAGGGGTGTGTAAGAACTGCCGTAACACGTGCTCTTTGGCGAGCAGCGACCACGAGTCCGAAGCTGCAGAACCCCAAAGGGTGGCTGTGGCTTTGCGGGTCTTGCTGTGGAGAAAGGAGTGTCTTGTGGGGTGGAGGGGTGGCCAAGTCCTTCCTCCTAAAAATAGCTGTTTCAATTCCGCTTTCTAGGAAGTGAATGGAGATACGTGATCCTGTCAACTGTGCGCTCCTGCCCCCGCTCGGAGATTGATTTGAAGCCCACGAAGAGCTGGCAGAAGAAGTACCTGGGGTTTGTTACCGACCCAAACCAGGTCAACGTCGGCATCACGCGAGCTCAGGAAGGACTCTGCATTTTAGGTGGGTCTGCTGGGAGTGTGCACAGTCCGGCAGGGAAAGGGGATGCTTGGATAAAGGGTGGAGATCCACGCTAGTACATCCGATGGTCTTGCTTTATTCTTCTGCCCTTCAGGCTGTCTGCGCTTTTGTAACCGGGCAATCGGCAAAGCAGAGATCGTGCATGGCTCGTACGCAGCGTGTATAATTAGTTTTTCTCACCCTCTGCTTCAGAGCATGTTGTTGCCGTCACTTGCATGCGAGAGCTCTCTCCTAACAGAATTTGGCTGCTTGTTTTCCTCCTGATCTTGGGAAGCTGCCTGCAGATATGACAGCCCTGAAAAGGGAGCTGGGATTTCACTGAGCTCCGGCTAAAGGAAGTGTCCCTGTGAGTTATCCAGACTAGTCGTGTTAGACAAAGGTTTCTGTGTCCGGTATCGTCCGAGCCTCTTCTGGCCACTAACCCGCTGCCCCCATCCCTGTGCCGACAGGGAACCGGTACCTCCTGGAGTGCAACCCTTTGTGGAAGAGACTGCTCCAGCATTACAAGCAGCACAAGTGCTATACTGCAGCCCAGGGGATCTGTGTCAGGAAGACTTCCGCCTTCCTCCGATGAGGATGGGTTGTACCTCGATGAGCTCACCCCTCTCTACCCGAACTGTGTTATGTGTGCCTTGGGAAGGACGCAATCTTTCCATGATTGAATGACCCACGGAGCCGAATGCGGTGGAGGAGCCAGCATCTTCCCCTGCACGGCGACTGCTTGGGTGCGTGCTTTGGCATCTCGGGGTTTTTAATCAGTGTGACTTTGGACAGGAACTTTCAGCTCTAGCAAACCAAAAAGCATTGGAAATGGGTGGATGTGACTTGGATGAGGATGCTATTTTTTTAACGTTAAGATGCTCAGCGGAGCTGCCGTCCTACCTGCCCGCGCAGCTGCACTTCGGGGACCAAACGCTCCCTCCGTCCGTCGAGGGTGGAATGACTGGACGCAACCGGGCTGGGCGGCACGCTGCCGTTTGCCGTAGAGGACCAAAGCTTTGGAGTGCTGCCACTCGTTTTAATACCAAGGCCGGGGAATTTTTAAGGCTTCTCGTTTCTCAAAGCAGAAAACCAATTTTGTTTTGTTGGTTTGTTTCTCGTTTTTAAGTGAAGGAAGAAAGCCGAGAGGGAACCACGTACCACTCTCTCCAGCCAAAACACTTCTCTGAGCGTGTAAATGCCATGGAGCCAAGGCCAAGTGGATTTTTGTAAATAGATTTACTTATTTTTTTCTACAAAGGAGGTTGTCCTCGCCAGTATAGAGTTCATGAAAAGCAAGAACTGCACCTACCAGGAAATGTTGGCATTTGTGAGCTATTTTAAACTGTTCCGACTTCTGTTCGACATCTCCTCCTGTAAGAGCCCCTTTTCCTACCCCATACTTTTTTCTTTTTTTAAAAAAAAAGCTGCTTCTAATTTATTGACTTTTAACTCGGTGAATCTTTCACAGCCTTACGGCTTGAGTTTTTAAAAGCGGTGATGGAAATTTGACAAATGTACCACAGCATATATGTGTATAATGTATTTTTTGGGGTTTTTTTTAAGTAGCCAAACTGCTGTGAACTGGAAGCCGTGACTCTTCAGAGCAGGCTGCTTCTGCCCGGCAGCGTCTGGCGGATACAGATGTGCGGCCGTGCAGCGGTGCGCTCTGCTGAATCATGGAGCTGCTCTTGGAAGCATGGTAGTTTTAGGGGAGGGTGTCTTTTATCTCATTTCAATTCTGAATGTATGAAGTGCCTGCCTCAGCTCTCCCCAAGACCACATGCTTGGCTGTCTCTAAATGTCCACGTGGGATGGAGCCAAGATGCAATCGCGGTGGTTTTTTGCATCACGTATGTACTGTCCTCCCTGGCGTGAGGGGTCCCCGTGACTCGCAGCGCTGTGGCAGGGATGAATTTTGTCCTGTGTTTGCAACTGCAGCAGTATGGCTTTCCCAGCGAGGAGAAACGTGCAATAAGAAAGCGCTGTGTCTGCAAAAGTCCTTATTTAACACTGTGTTAAACTCATGACTCTGTTAGACTTGACCAAGAAGCTACGGAGAATTTTTGTCGTTCTCTTTCTTATTTTAAACCACCTTCTGCGTTTGGTGGGTTTGAGCTGTA